CGGGGACCCATTTGAAAACGAGGAATAAAAAACTTTTAAAGAAAAACTAAGACAAGATGGTGAGGGCCCTGCCCGTGAGGGCTTACAATCTAAAAGGGAGGGGCACTTTATCAGTGTCCAAATATTTATGGAGCTAACTAGAACTGTGTTAGGGATTTTCTTGTCTGAAGTGTAGCTTTAGGCATTCCTTAACAAATACTGTCTCTGTTTGTGATAAAGCGGTGACATTCTGTATACAATGTGCACAAACTCCAAAGTGTTTACAAATCCATCTAGGAAGCAGTTTAGTCCCATAGACATGCTGTAGCAAGTTTTGTAATACACATAGCTTCTGATGAATAATGAAGAGGGCGGTAGCTATAATGTAGTTTGCTACAGATTGCCTAAAATTCTGTTTTTACAACAATGTCAGATCATACCTTTCTGGTTAAGCAAATTCAACCAAGAAAACCAACACAATGATAACGCCCTATAATTATGAGCCAATTGCTTACATTACCCAACAGTACTAATATATACACACAGATCCAAACGCAGTTGGTTATTTAAAGAAAAAAAAAGAAAGAATGATTTAACAAGCAGATATGCGTTACTTTACAACATATAATAAAATGTTTTAGTTTGTTATCGAAGGATAGAAATCACCATCACTCAGCAAATGAAATTAAAAAAATTTCAATTTATTTGGACTAAGCGTCACACATATCTCATAATCCAATCCAACATTTCGGGACCACGCAGGGTCCCTTTATCAGGGCAAAGGTGTGACCATAACAAGTCACATCTTTGCCCTGATGAAGGGACCCTGCGTGGTCCCAAAACGTTCTCCCCCACTACAGTTAGGCAATGATAAAGTTTCTATTTGAAGAATGATCGAACAGAGTCCCAAACAAATTTAGTAAAAAAGCTCTGTACCTTCTGAAGGAAGGCTCTAGGAAGGGAGATATGGATTGTATGGAATAAGTACAGAAAATGTTGCACTAAGCACATTTTCAGGACATTGATCGGGCGTTTTCTATCACAATCATCAAGTACCTCCGTCATCCTCTGAAGCAAGGCTTCAAAATTCAAAGAAAAGAGACCATTCAGGGTGTAGAAATCACAAGATATCTCAAGGAGGCACAGCAAACTCGGAATGCAAAATTGTTTTGCAATTGCTCAACCTGTGGACTCAGAGATACGTTGAGAATTTCGGACTACGAATAGTTGACTTTGAAATTACTGAGTGCAACAAACCGCCTGTATTATCGGGGGAGGGCAAGGAGGCCAACTTAGTACTATGATGTCCAATGGATAGTCCAGAAGTTAGTTCTGAGGGCAACTGTCAAGTGTTCCATTGTCAGGACGTACAAATAAGGGGACAATGGACACCCCTGCCTTGTGCCCTTAGAGATGGTAAACAAGGGGGAAAGGGATCCAATAATGCGAACTCACGCGGAGGGAGAGGAGTAAAGGGCCATAACATTCCACATTATATTAGGGCCTAAACATATTTGCAGTAAAGTATACAGGAAGAATGGCCAACTCACCCTGTCGCATGCCTTTTCTTTGCCTACAGACAGGAGACACCTCAGAACATTCAAAGCCTGGTCATGTTCCATCAGTAGAAGGGTTTTGATGGTATTGTCCCTAACCTTACTACCCTGAACAAAGTCCACCTGATCAGGATTAACAAGTCGGGGGAGAAGCGGCTAAAGTCTGTAAACTAGCTATATGGCAAATAATTTTAGGTCCAAATTGAGATGGGGTGATAATTGGAGCAATGTGTATAATCTTTATCTTGTTTTGGGATCAGGGAGATATGGGCTTCCAGAGCATGGCTAGGAAATTACTCTTCCAAGGCTGTGAATCTGTCTGGGCCAGGACTCTTACCAGTGGGGACCGATTTGAGTATGGCCGACAGTTCGTCTGCAGTAATGGGTTCTTCCAGAGCCTGTGTAGTGGTCTCCTCTAAAACTGGAGGTGGCTTATCTCTAACATATGTAGCAATGCTATCCTCAAGATCCAACTCTGAGAATGTTGGATAGAGGGTAGGGATATTATAACGGCACACATAAAACTCAACAAAAGTCCACTGGATCTCCTCAGCCGTATGCACCATGCAATCCATGGAAGATTTCATCTGTGGTATAGATGTATGGTGGTCACCGAGGTGCAAGGTTCTAGCTAAAAGTTTGCCACATTTATTGCCATATACATAATGTCTCAGTGCCAACGTCTTCGTATAGGTCTGTGCAGAAAATTTCAGAAGAGAGAGGAGTTTAGATCTGGTTGAGAAAATTTTCGCCAGAGTCTCAGGTAAGGGGGACCATTTCTAAGCAGTCTCCAGATGTTTGAGGGTATTCATGGCCTCTAATATACACTGAGATTGCTCTCCCTTCACCCAAGTCCACTGTTAGATTAAAATGACTCTCAGTACAGCCTTAAGAGCCTTCTATTGACAGATGCGTAGGGCCAGATGAATGACCAACAAAAAAATGAATGATAGCCTCAGATACCCTGGACATACAGGTGAAACGCGAATAATTAGAATATCGTGCAAAGTTCATTTATTTCACTAATGCAACTTAAAAGGTGAAACTAATATATGAGATAGACTCATTACATGCAAAGCAATATAGTTCAAGCCGTGATTGGTCATAATTGTGATGATTATGGCTTACAGCTCATGAAAACCCCAAGACCCCAAATCCACAACCTCAAAAAAGTAGATTATTACATGCAATCAATAAAACAAGGATTGTACATAGAACAATATCGGACCTCTGAAAAGTACAAGCATGCATATGTACTCAGTACTTGGTTTGGGCCCCTTTTGCAGCACTTACTGCAATTACTTTTGCACGATATTCTAATTATTCGAGTTTCACCTGTACACACTTGGTCCATTAAAAGGGTCTCATAGTCCATTCCCTCCGAGACTCCTGTTGAATTTGAATGGCTAGCATAACAGGGGAGTGGTCTGGCCACAATGAATGGATGAATTAGGGTTGCCACCTGTCCAGGATTCACCCGGACAGTCCGGGTTTTGAATGCGGTGTCTGGGTTTCATGGCAGGACACAAGATGTCAGGCAGACAGGGGCTAACAAAATTAAGACAGGGGCTACTGGCCCCGCACTGAAAATAGTCTCAACTGTGATATTTACATACGAATGGGCGGCACTATCTACAAATGAATAAGCTACGACTTATTTTCCCCCAAAAATGTAAGCGCGGTCGCAAGAGTGTTCGGGTTTCGCTTCAAGAAAAGGTGGCAAGCGTAGGATGAATGGAAGCCCATTCTACCGGCAAGAAGTAAGAACACAAGTGAAAAATGTTTGAATAGAGCGAGTATTAGATTGTCTGTTGTTTTTTTTTTTATTAATCTCTGTTCCCATTGGGTAAGGACTTACAGTGTGAAGTAGTAAAGTATGTCACCAGCACACAGTGGTTAAATCTTCAAGAAGTGATCATTTTATTGCTGCACACCCAGATCTTGTCACATAGCAGTTTTGGGGCCACTCAGGGTCCCTCCTTCAGGCATTATAGTGTGGTCACCAGGACAGAAAGTGAGCAGGATCTCTCCAGTGGGGACACATACATAAAGAACTCTTTTATAATTGGGGATCTCCATCTGAGCTGCCTGTGTCCCTGCAGGGGAAGTTTACAAACCAAAAGCTTACAGTCAACTACCTCATCACTGTGCAGCCAATCGCAGTGAACGGGAGCCCCTCCTACTGGATTCCTGAGGCTGGAATCCCTGCTGTGTCCGTTCAGATATAATTAAACTGACATTACAGTCAAATTTGTTTTGCCCTTTCCCAATCCTGCTGTAGGGCCTTACCTTAAATGATGCCTCTTGATCCAATCATCTTCTTTGTTCAAGTAGTTTCCAGCAATCCCTTCAGCGCCGGTCTCTGATCCAGCGCTGACTGCAGTGTCCCACGGAGTCTGTGCAGCGTGCACGCTCACGGCTGCCTGCATTAACTTCTATTGAGTCTCTCCTCTTCTCCCTGCCGATGATCTCCACTGCTCATGCGCACGCCCAGATCTTCCTGCACGGCGGTTCGGGGAAGCTGAATGCTGCAGATAGGAGCGAGCGGCGGTGACAGAGGAAAGTATTTACCTATTTGGTAACTTTTTGCATGTATCTACTGCTTGCTAGCAGTGGATATAGGTAAAAAAAATAAGACTTTAAATCTACTTTAATGACAAGCTGACAGTGGCCACATCTGTCAGCAGCAGCCCACGTATAATTGTACCTGTAACGATTACCTGCGGATTGGGAGAGATGCTTCTCGCTGGACACAGACAGCGGTTGCAGCAGTACAGACACACCCGCGATTCCTGCGGCCAGAATCTGTAGGTTCTTTCTGCAGAAATCCCTAGCAGAAGCCTAAAACCGAACAGGAATGTGCGCTAATGCTACGTGGCGGTGTATGGAGGTGCAGTATTTTCTTGTGGTAGGCAGGTGCGTCCACATGCCTCAATATGCGTTTTCTTTGTGCGTTTTGAAATATGTAACAGCTGTCCACTACTGCCAGGATTTGGAAATTCTTAGCGTCTAAATAAAGGCGTTTTGACATGTTGGGCCTGGTGTGCGGGTGACTATTTGCATATTTAGATTCAAGTGGCGCCATCACACATTTGACTACATTGAGTTTGGAGTGTGGTGGGATGCATGCTACCCTGTGTTTTGGCACAGGTTTCCAAAGCGTTTTTTAAAGTAGATAGGGTTAAAACAACCATTGAAAGTAGATAGGGTTCACAACCATTGAAAGTAGATAGGGTTAATGACAAACATTGACCAAGGCTTGGTAATACCTGTTGTCAACGCAACAAAACACTAATGGAATAATAATATTCAAGGTTCAATCACAACCGAATCCCGTTTCATTAATTAGAGGCAGCGAGAACTACATCTCCCATCAGGCTCTGCGCCTGGGACGTCACTCAGCAGCCCTGCGGAGTACGCTTGAAGAGGATTCCCCCGGCGTACTGACGTAAAGCTTTGGGTGACGTAGCCGGTGCCGCGGCCATCTTTGTGTGGGAGGAGTTAGTAGGCAGATTGGGGGCAGACAGTGTTCTGAGGCCACCGAATCCTCTCCGCCATGTCCGCCGATAAACTGGAGAGTAAGACGCCGGAGGAGATCTCCACTGACGAACAGAAGGTGAGCTCACAGCCGTGCCGGCTGAGGGGAAGCAGAGGCATTGGCCGCTCTTGTGGAAAGATCCAGAGTGTGCCGGAGGATGAGTCATAATGTGGTGTGCCCCGGCCCATGTGGGGGCCCCTGTGACCTCATGAGGGTTCCAAGTCCCATCTGCTGGGCTACAGACCCACCTCACTATGAAAATTCTATATAATGGCTTTCTCTGGAGGGAGTCTGCCGCCCGAAGCCCTCTACTCTCAGGGGCCCAGCTTCCTCTTGTGTCATCTCAGCTCACTCTGCCTTTTTGGGGGCATCAGCCAGGCTTGGATCCTCTGCACCGCCATATATTGACCCCAGACCCCTCTACTCTTAGGGGTACACCTTTCTCTCTCATTCTGAATCGTTATGACTTTGTGGGGACCATCTGCCAGTTTAGGATCCCCTGTACTCCCAGTGTTTGGGCCCAGGCCCCTCTACTCTCATCAGCTCACCTTCTCTCTCATTCTAGATCATTGTATTTATGGGGGGCATTTGTCTGGGATCTCATGGACCCATAAGTATGCCCCCAGACCCCTCTACTCTCAGGGGTACACCTTCCTCTGTGATCCTGGTTCATTTTGTCTTGGAGGGCATCTGCCAATCTGGGCACCTCTGCACCCCTATTGGGCCCCAGCCCCTTGTATTCTCAGGGGTACACCTATCTCTTTGCTTCTGGCTTATTTCTCTGTACAGTGCATTTGACCACCTGGGACCCTCTATTGGGCACCCCTCTACTTTTAGGGGCACACCTGCTCTGATCTTGAACCATCTTGTTGTGGGGTTTGTCTGAAAATCTGGGTTCAACTGCACACCCCCCTATTGAGCCCCTGCCCCCTCTACAGTCAAGAGTACCCCTTCCTCAGTGTCAGCTTTTGGGGGTATCTGAGAATCTGGCATCACTTTTCATGTGATACATTTGACCTGAGATTTAATAATCTTAATATCTCCCCTTTAAATAAAGCTTGGAGCCCCCTGAATTACCCCAGCTGTATATAATGAGCCGGGTAGGCCAAGTAATATGAGAGTGAGCACATGGCTGAAGTGTGACATGCATTTCATTTTGCTCTTCATGCATTGCACATACTGGGGGGCACAAATAAGTGTACAGACGGGGTAACTGATGATCATGTCTAACATTAGACTGGGGGGATTCAGCAGTGGTTGGTGATTAAATCTTCCTCGTGGTGTGTTCATATGATGATGCTGGAATGGAGAGCTGACTCGCCGTGGTCTCTGACTCTCTAGAACACGCTGGATTATCCCAGTGGCTGAGCATTAGCCGCACCTAATCTGCAGTAATGAAGAGGTTACATGTAGTCCCTGCAGCTCGTTTATTACAGCCTCACCCTCTTTATTATATTGTCATCTTCTAATGTGTAGGCTGGGAAGCTGTTCTGCATACATAATCATCCAGTTCTGGGTAGATATTGTTAAGCTTTCCATGTAGAACTTTCTTTTTCATGCTGAGCTACTTCATTCAATGCAAGTTGTAGAATTCTCCTTCAGATTTTATGTTATATGTGTAGCTCGTGGGTAAGCATTCATTTCAGCTCTGGTGTCCTTTTTGATTCATAGTTTGGACACCATCAGTATTAAAGTGACACTAAACTCAGGAGTTGAATCTTAAAAATACATTACCTTAACAAAAATGTATCTTATTTGTGTATCACTCAGCTGTAGATCCCCAGATCTACAGCTACTTTTGTTCCCCATGATCCCTGGGTGTGTGGTGAAGTAGCCACCACTCCAAGCTCACTCCCATAATGGACTAACATCTCATGTTTAGTTTACTAATTTGTATTGAGATTGTAGTCCATTATGGGAGCGATCTTGGCGAGGTGGCTTCTTTACAACACACCCCAACATGGACCTCCTTACCATCTTGTCTTGAATTGTATTGTAACTGTAATGTCTTCCTTATATTGCATAGTTACATAGTATTTGAGGTTGAATAAAGACATTAGTCCAAGTCCAACCTATTAGGATCTTATTCTAGGAGTACCTGTACCCCTGTATATTACGGTCCCTTAAGATTGTAAAGCGCTGCGCAAACTGTTGGCGCTATATAAATACTATGTAATAATAATAATTAATAATATAATAATAATACACACACACGGACCATTGGGAACAAAATGAGTCCCCCTCCAGAAGGTAGGACAGTGTCAGCACCAATTCAGAGATGATTTGAGGATCTACAGCCGAGTGATACACAAATACGATACATATTTGTTAATAGTTGAGGTACTTGAATCCATTTTTAAGATTTAGTGTCACTTTAAGTTTGTACAGTCTCCCCGCATCTGCTTTCATTAAGTCCCACTGCTGGTTAACAAACCCTTGTTGGAATTTCCTCAATGGACGGAAGGCCCTGTAGTCTATTTTGGTGTCTGTATCGTGCCAGGAATACTATCCTAAGATTTTGTCAGGAGCTGACAGCAGATAAACATCACTAGACTGACTGTAGAACAATGGTGGTCAATTCTCCCAAGTATAGGAGCCATTCAAAAAGCAGTGTGCTTCAAAATTCAGCGTCTCTATTGCTGCTGGAGTCACACATCACAAATTATTGTCCCCGCTGCTCCTTACAAGTCATAGAGATGAAAAACAAGTTTACTTGACTGTTACTTCTGCAGCAATATGAGAACATTTGGATCTGGAGGGTGACAGGAGAAGAGGAGTTTTACACACATGGACACCGGCTGTCTATTACTGTGGCAACATTTTCTTTATTATTGAGCAATGATGGGTTAATCATCAGATTTTCTCCCTGTCTGTCGTCTTATACAATGTGTATTAACTGCCTATGTGCCCCCAACATTTCACCATCTTCCTGCGCATGTACTCCCTTTTTGTCAGGTAACATACAATTCATTTTGCAGAGCCAGGTAGTATGCTCCTTTTTTAAAAGCAAATTATAACCAGACCTTTTTTTGGCATTGGTTCTCTTTTGGGTGACAGGAACATTTACTAATGTCCTCCTGTGACCCAAAACTCAGTATATAGCGGACTATTGACTGCTATATGCTGACAGCTCAGAGCCGCGCTGCACCCGGGATGGTCCAGACAATATTGTCAGGATCCACCCCGCTGCCTGATTGACAGTTGGCTCTGCCTCTCTAGAGTCAGAGCCCGTTGTGCCCGTCCCCTGTCTTTCCCTCCATTCAGCGAGTTTGTAAATTCTCATTGCTTTTAATGGAGCAGTACACATGACCAGGGCTTTGAAAATGTTTAGGGTGTCTCACCAGTCAGCCAAAAATGTCACTAGTCAGCATGACCGGACTATAGACTTGCAATTTATGTTAACCTTTTTTTGGGACAGATAGTTTTCTTTTGGTGGTATTTAATCACCACTGGGGGTTTTTTGTAATTTTTTTTTTTACTATATAATTAAAGTACCGTAAAGTTTGGAAGAAAAAAAAATTGCTACGTTATGTAAAAAAAAAACATTTATTCTTATCCATATTTTTGGTAAAATATAAAAATACGGGGTCACGTTGGGTAAATAGACACCAAACATGTCAAACGTTAAAATTGCGTGCATCCGCAAAATCGCAAAAAAAATATGATACCCCAAATTGGCCATAGGCGATGCTTTAAAAGCTTTTATTGCTCATCAGTTTAGTGTTAACCATGATTAATAGCCTTAAAATGATTACCCTCACTCTGACTTCGGCGGTGATATGTAACGTGTGGCGCAATCGCCATTTTCACACCATTTTTTTGTTTGTTTTGTTTTTTTATATATATTTGACTTAAGATTGTTTTATTTTTTTTGGGTAACTACTTTTTTTTAAAATAGTTTTTTACTTTATTTCCATCACATAGGGGGCTAAGAAGCCCTCTATGTAATAGCCAATTAAGAGGAGAGGGGACAGAGG